AAAAAAAAAAAACCAACTAACTCAACGGAGGAACAATTAATTCTAGGGTTCATAGTATCTTTTTGTTGGAATGTCTCTTAACGTATAAGTTTCGAGAGTTGAAAGAAGAACTGCATAATGTTTGGGGCTCTCAGATCTGCCTTTCTTGAAATGGCCGCATTTATGCTGAAAAGAACTACATGCAAAAAATAAAACAAAAAAGAACTATGTGAAACGCAAACACCATAGCTTTCACGTATCTTTATTTTCAAATACTTCTTTTCAGCATAAATTCGTCCGATTTTCAACGCTCATCAATTGTGAACAACCGAGAACTTTCGATTATCTTTTGGATAATTTTACACTTCAAAAGTAAAAGTTCATTTTTTTTATTAAAAGATGAGGGACTACAATCTTATATGTATTAACCCTACAAAGTAAATCTAATGTTTGTTGTAATTTCGTTACAGTTCTGCATCTTGGCCGCCCTCGCGACAGTAGCTAGCTGCGGCTACGCCAGCTCCTCAGCGTACGTGAAAACAGCCCCATCACACGGTCACGCACCAGCATCCTACGGAGGCTACGGCCACGGAGCCGAGTCTTACGGAAGTTACGGCCACGAGTCGTACCACGACTCGCACCCCGCCTACAAGTTCGCGTACAGCGTGCACGACCCTCACACCCACGACGTGAAGGCCCAGGAAGAGACCCGCGACGGACACCACGTCAAGGGCTTCTACTCCCTCTACGAGGCTGACGGCAGCAAGCGCGTCGTCCACTATGCCGACAACGGACACGGATTCGAAGCCACCGTCCACAAGGAGGGAGGTCACCACCCCGTCTCAGCCCCTGCCCACTACGCTCCGTTACCTGCCTACCACGCCGCTCCGGTCTTCGAAAAGTACTGAAACTTCCTCGTCATCAAATGTGATCATATCCTGTAATATTATGCATTTTTAAGTTCAAATAAAAATTGAAGAAATAAGTTTCATTGTTCTGATTTCTTTGTACATGAAGGTCTAAGAAATCTGTTGGATTTGCGAGAAATCTGCATGCACCGTAAAAATGGTCAAAAAACAGATTTGTTAAAATTAAATTAAAATTAATTAGATTTAAAGGGGCATTTTAAGCACTATTTTTCTAATTTAAGAAGAAATGTTTGGAGCGACATTAAGTTCCTTCAATTTCATTGAGTTTTTTTCTTATTAAATTTAAACAAAATTAACTTCGTCATAGTTGACAAATGACTAGGTGAATTAAAAATTTTTTTCGACCCATTTTCTTTTAAAAATTTCACTTCGTGCGCTCCTGATAAATCAGTCCAAATATAGTGTTATTTGAGTAATTCATTATGGCTAGAATAAATTACAATGACTACAACCCTATCATGATTTAAAATATTGAAAAAATTCCGACACTTCAAGAATAGGAACACGGGACAGAAGTGAACAAGTGCCTTGGCTAAGTTTTTTTCAAAATGCACCTTATATGTTTAGATCAAGTCATTTGTGGCATCTGTTTATTTATTTTCAAGAAGGAGTGATCTGTTGAAAAAATTAATGGGCTATGTTTGGCACTTACGCGGGCTTGTTCATTTAGAGCAAATACTCATGTTTTGACGAGAAGGCGAAAATCTCCTTCAAATATGCAAGTATGCAACCCGACGATCATCGTATTCGGATAGTTATCGCTTGAATTCGCAGCATGTTTCATCATCGAACGCATGAATTGACGGTGAAACTGCAAAAATGCAAATCTCAGTTGCGGTGTTTGAAAATTTCGGCTCTTGTTTTATTTTTCAAAAGGAGACCAAACTACCGTAATGACTTGAAATTTTCACAGAATATTCTTCTCAGAGTGAAGAAAAATGACCTAAGTGTTCAAGGAATGACGCTTACATTTAGTAGTTTTCCGTATGGAAAGTAAAGTATGACATGATGTTCGCAGAGGTAAGCACACCTGCAATTTCAACCTCGATACATGATTAGTTGCACCTTATAAATGAATTTTGATGCCGGGAGAAAGTTACTCATATTATTAGACTGAAAATTATAAATCCAATCAATTATTGAGATACGCGGTACTTGGTTTAATCACACCTAACTGAACGTTTTTGGCATAAGCCAAGAGTTTTAGTGAGAGATTCATTTAACTTTTATTGGAATCCCTCTTTGAGTTAAATATTCTACAAAAAGTAAAGATGTGAGATAAGGGTGAGTATTATATTTCTTCCGTATTGTTGAGCTCGAACAACTCGCGTAAACTTTGCTTTTCTCTACTACCACGAGGTTTCCGTCGGACAATACGTCGCTCCTCTAACGTGAGGGCTTATCTTGATTTCAACATGAGCCCCGGCGAGCATACAGTTATACGGAGCACAGAGCTCACGTGGAAATTGAGACACGCCCTTACGTCAGAAGAGTGACGAATATTGAAGCAATAAGCAAACTAGCTAATATATAGGTGTTAAGCTCATTCATTTGCTCTTCTAAAAATTTGTAGACGGAACCACTCACCGAGATTTACCAAGAACGCACGGGGGAGGACCGGATAACTTACTTAAAAATTTAAAATATGCCTTTGTCCATTGGATTTTAGTTATCGAGTGATTTTTCTACATCCAAAACCCCGTCGTACATCCGAAGAGAGACAAATACACAATCTATATAAACCCCATTTTATTATGATGTGCAGAAGGGAAAATCCAGCTGAATATGAATAAATGAATAGGTTGCAGACGAAAAAACGTTTTCAACTGAGCATCATCGGTATGACATAGCTGCAATGCATGTATTAATACCAGGTTGCCGAAAAATCCTCGCACGAGCCTAAGAATCAGATGCTCATGCGCATGACCCTAACACGTGAAAAAAATCAAACTAAACTGCCAATCAGTTGTAGATAGAAATCTTTCGCTTAATACGCCTGACACAAATGACCACAAAATGTTCTACAGGCTCTTTTGTACTCCAAATTACCTACCGTTCTCGTGCGGGAAAAAGGTTTCATTGAATGTTTACTCATTGTATTTAACTAGTAAAAATCTTGCGATATTATTTAAAAACATAACAATTCTATTGCATTAAATCGCAAAAGTATTTTTATACGGATTTTTGAGTCTTTCAACGCTTATTGCTAAGATTTAGCATGCCAACAGGTATAGGTATGAATTTAAGTCATGGGCGACTTTCAACTTCTCATCACTTAGAAAATAACGATGACACTGAAATTGTACAATCGCATGAGACTCGTCGCAATCTGGACACTCAGCTTATGGGAAAGTGCACCTTTCTTTTTTATTTTGAATCGGAAACAATAAGCGGCTTCATACATGTATTTGAAAGCAGCGAGCAGTAGTTCATTTCGCACATTATGCGCCGTAAGCGCCCAAAAACAGTGAAGTATTGGTAAAGACTAACACAATATTTTAGGGAGATTATGATTCGTTAGGTAGCTAGGAACAAGCTTAAAACTAAATATGATAAAAGGGATACATTCTTAAGGCGCGATCTTCCAACACCACGTGCGGAATTTACCTGCTTGTACATACTATTGTTGCAGGTTCGACGATAAAAAAGGATTTTTGATTAACAAGCGATTTTTTTCGTACCCAGTCCATAACTCTTGAGCCAGGCCCCGATGGTCATGATCTCGTTTTCGTGGAAATAATAGAAGACTGGACGCCCACAAGTTATTTGCAAATAAACGGCTTCTTTAAAAGCACTAAATGAAAGGACCAATCGGTATTAAGTAATAACATCTGCATTTGAGTCCACGGTTGTCAAATTAAACAAATTTTGTGTGCGTTCTTAAGCTCTTCGCGAGAATTTTTTTCGTTTTCTGTTCTTGAAACAGCCATGCTTACATATTAATTCAATTCAAATTGTCACATCAGGTTTTCTCCCTATAAAATTCTCCTGAACTTTCAAAGTAATGAATACTTAAGGAAACTGGCAAACCTGCCTGGCGCGTGTGCCGGCCGGACATACTTCACCGCTAGCTTTTTTTACGTCGTCATTAGTTACTGACTTTTTTATGTCACATTGGTTTTTTGGCGATCACGTGAGATAAACACCTCCTTTTTCATTTATGACTTTTTTGCTTCACATTATACGAAAATTATTTCAAAATCGGTCACTGCAGCTATATAATATCTGACGAATGAGCACTAATATCATAGTTGCTCTTGACTTCAATCAGTGTGCAGTGTCACTTATAGCTCCTCAAAAACACCATGTACAAGGTAATAATATATTTTTATACGCTTGGAAAAATTATCTTTATTGTAATTTGAGAATGTGTGAAAAGCGATATTGAAATTCATAATCAAAAAAAGTAATAAAAATGAAAATTTAATTTCAAAACAAATAGAGAAGACTGCGGTGGAAATCGACATTAAAAGTTAGTCTAAGTTAAAGAATAGTCGAATTAAATGAGATAGTTAGAATCAATATTTGTTGAAACGTCGTATAAGTGGTCAGATATAATCTAGTTTGTGTGAATGTGCTAGTTGGATTCATACGAACTAAAAGAATTAAAGCACCAAGACGAGTAATAATCAAAAAATTTTACGTAAAATGTATTGAATAAACTCATGAGGGAAAAAGTAGATTTTAGGGTCCACATAAGCAAACGTGAATTAAAATTCTTTGATCATAAAATAATTGGAGTCAACATAAGTCAAATCTGCCACTGAAAACTCATGCAGTTCGGCAGATAAGTAGCCACTTTTGAACCGGGGTTCTTGTAAAAGTAGTAAAGTGCCTGATTTGACTCATTTAGATTGTGGTTTTTGTCAAGCAGAATTTCAGATCACTGAGGATACGGAACGCTAAATTGTCACTCAAAATTGAATTTGGACATTTTCACTGTTTTAATTGTATCGCGTTGAGTTGTGGTGCGGAAACTTATTCTGTTGTGATGATTTATTTTTCTATAATGTAGTGGCTCATTGTAGGTAATCAATGATTGGTTACTTTTCGTCACTTTTAAAGTTATTTCTTTGCGTAAACCCTTTGAATAGTTACTTTTGTTTAAAAAAAAATTATTATGATTATCACTTCGTTCAGTTTTATTTGATCAAATTAACACGATGCTAGCAAATCCCGTTAAAAATTTTAGAGTGCACCGGCACCCATTCATCATTTCTTACCGCATGGAACATTTCTGCCAGATTCTCATTCGAAAATAATGCGAAGTAACGTTTTTAGGACTGATGACTCCTAACACTTGGGTAATCCTAGTGATCTTCAATGAAAGAATTATCTAACTTTTATCATTGAAAAAGTATGAAATGCAGAATAATTTATGGGTCATCTCTTTGTTCTTTTTCAAAAAATAAAAATTGCATTTATAAATATATGTATTTTATTTTTAATTGCTTATGCATTTTCTTATTCCGCTCACTTTGCTCTCTCTATTACATTGGGTTTTCCAATCTGATTATCTATGCTACTGATATCTTGATTCCACTTCAGTGATAAGTTGTTTACAAATCTAGTTAACTGGTTCCGTAATTGACCTCCATTGATACCTATACGGAAACATGTATAGAATTATTAAATTCGCACCTTCTCTAATGGTCCTCTATTACAATACGGTTTGGTGCGACTTACCAAAATTGTAGTTTCAGCTACCTGTGTAATAATTTTGACTGAAAAAAATATGTTTTTACTTTGCAGTTCATCGCCCTCTTCGCCCTCGTGGCCGCCGTGAGCGCCCAATACGGACACCAGGAATCTTCCTACGGCCATCACGAGCCATCCTACCCCTCTGAGCCAATCAAGTACCAGTACAAATACGAGGTCAACGACCCCCACACCCACGACATCAAGAGCCAGGAAGAAAGCGGAGACGGACACTACGTCAAGGGCTACTACAAGCTCGTCGAACCCTACGGTGGAGAGCGCATCGTCCACTACTCCGACGATGGACACGGATTCGTCGCTCATGTCCAGACCGCCCACATCTCCCATCCCCAGGAATACAAGAAACCCAGCTACGGCCACTCTGCCCCATCCTACCACTGAATAACTTATATTCACAAATGAGTCTACCCTCCGTCCAATATGTGTAATAGCGAAATGCTAGCTAGTCAACTGGTCGAACGAAAGCACGACATGCAAAGGGAGTCTATCTGCGAGACTTCTAGGTAAAGTCGTTTTCGTTTCGAAGTTAACTTGTATGAGAGCTGGTGTGCTCTGGTGCTCCAATGACCGTATTATGCTAATCGAGCAAACTTATTTAATTTTTTGAAGAGGAGATTTTAAGCGAAAGCCGTACAAGCACTGATGACCAAACTGCCAAATTTATTGTTTCATTTGTAAATATAGTTTTATGAAATACAAGAAATAAAAGTAAAACAATTCAACTTTTGGTGTTTTTCCATTCTCCGGTCACATTTTTACCCTCCTCTATGAAAAAACTATTATTTTCCAAAAATTTCCGGTGGTTAAGTTCCTTAATACATTTTGATTAAATGTTTTTTTTTGAAAAATGAATATAGTCGATCACGACTACCAGCTATAATGCTACACTTTCAGATAGATAAATAGGTATTTATCCATTACATATGAGACAAAAAGTTTGACCAAAGTTATAAAGTTCTGAAAATTAGTCCCCAAACCAAAAAAAGTTGAATTTATTTTTACAATTTAACGTTTTTTCCTCTCTAAGTCGATATTTAACTATTCCTTTGTTAACTGCACTTAAGAGAAGATTGAATAATGTGATTGTAAGCCAAAGGTGCTTACTTTTTTCTGTGTTAGTTTCTGATCAGACACTAATCAGAAACTAAGACAGAAAAAAGTAAGCACCTTTGGCATACAATCACATTATTCAACTGAATTACAGGTGCAATATGCATATCAGACTTCATTAGAAGAAGAGAAACAAAAATCGATTATACTGAATTACAGGATTATCTACAAATTATCTTACCTAAATCAAACTCAAAAGCAGTGAAAAACCAACGTATTTAAAACAGAAGCTTCCAATCATTTCCAAATCATCTCCTAAAGTTTCTCAACACACTTGAATATATATTAAAACATTTTGTGTTCGTTTCAAACTTCTGATTGGCAAAGAAAAATAGTACCCTATTAACGACTGCCCTAAAGTAAAATTGTATTCGTAAATTTCGTGTTTCCACCAGAAACACACAAACAAAACAGCGCACAAAAAAAAACGAAAATAAAATCGACATTTGATGTTTTATTACAGAGTTGAGTAATCAATAAAACTGGGCTCTTCTCTCAACACTCCGTCCCGGGAAAATCAGCACGAATGTGCACTGAGAAAAAACTATGGCTTATAAACCTATTAGAGGTAAATATGGAACACCACTAATAGTAGTACCTCTACATATAATAATAGCACATATACCTTAGTTATGGTACGGGGTACCTTAATTAGGTACAGAGACCTTAGTATGGTTCACAGACCGAGAATCATTAGTTTATTTACGACTATTATAGGTGTTCCATATTTACCTCTAATAGGTTTACAAACCATAGTTTTTTCTCAGTGTGATGCTTCCTTTCATTGACAATACGAGAAGAAGAGAAGCAAGACACAGAGCTTTATACTCTTTCTCTCCCCTTTTCCTCTTAAAACATTTTCAAAAAAACAATGAAGTATTAAACAGCAATTTGCTTCAAGATTCACCCCTTTATAAGATGAAATATACATTGAAAATTGCAGTTTTAGTGAAAAATTTCGCATCCGTCCTGACTAAATGTCTGATTTCATTGTGCGCCCCTCCCCTCCAACCCTGATCTTTATACTCGCACAAAATCGTCACGGTGAAACCTTCCATGAAGACTGTTGGCGATGCTGGTCAGATTTCCAAGATCGCCGAGTCTTGATTGGTCGCGGATGACGGCGAGTGAAGTCTAGCGAGGGCGCATCATTCTTGCGTCATCGGAAGAAAGAGACATAGTAAGATCATCAGTTCTGCCGTGTTGAGGAAGGACACGGTATTAGTTTTCAAACACTGTCAGATTTCCTTGGACCTAGTGCGAATTTCAAAAGAGACTCATGAGTGTTTTTGTTCTAGTTATTCAGAGTATTGTATCCGTGGTTCAATTAAAGGCATTTGAAAACTTAGAGGAAAAATTTCTGTATGTTGGAGTTTTGTAGCCAATGTGCGTTAAATATCAGCGTAAAGCTGAAAATATCAATATAGAGTGTAAAAGCTCATATGAGCATAACTTCCCCTGAAAGAGATACGCTGTTTGGTGCAACGCCAGTAACGACCAATCTCTGAGGGAAAATTGTGCTCAAATGGGCCTTTTCCCTCTGTATTGAGATTTTCAGCTTTATGCTGATTTTTAACGCAAGTTGGTTAAAAAACTCCAATATACTGTCTTACGACCTGCGTCTACCGCTATCAGTTTGTGGAAAAATTTCTCTAGATTTCCTCAAAAATACATTTTTTATCGGGAAAAATTTGGCAATGTCCGAAAGTTCATAGGACGTATTTTCCTTGTCACGGCAATGTTAGGTTCAAGATTGAAATCGGGAGCAGCAACTTGAGAAACAAATCTCACATCTCAACTACTCCCGATGGAGCCTGCACGCAAGAGCGAAATGGAGAAAAATGAAAAAAACGACTTGCCTTGTAAATACCACGGAATGTTAAACTTGGACTTTAAGCCAAGGAAAACCTATTAAAATGCACAAATTCTGGAACCTTTTTCGGAATATTCCCACATAAGATGACTGTAAAATGTGCATGAAAATAAGTGATAAAAAGGAAAATGATGAATGTGTTGTTCTAATATATTATGACATCCGTGGCGGATACACAAAAAATTGAAGGCGCTCCGGTCATCCTAGCCCATGAAGCGCCGCTCGCAGCTACACGTCGTCATGAGTTGGTATGACGGTGAGATGTAACATCCTGATTTGTGAAAATATCCTTTCCTGACCTTTCCCCTTAGTTTTAATCCAGGCAATTCATCTCGCCACATATTCAAGCTGACGCGTCACACACAGCTACGAGCACTTCTTCATGAACTGGAGTAACCACAGCGCCTTCCACTTTTTCATATGCAACCTGCGCGTCCAAAGAGTACGAATAGAGATGTATTAAGGCGCTAATACCAGCATCATTGAATGCATTGGATATCTTGACTGAATTATTTGTATGGAAAGCCCAGCCAGGTCTATTTCTGCTGGAGTGCCGTTTAGAAAATTGAATTTAAAGGATAAACCCATTTAAAAATGCTAATATTTTGAAGTTTTTTGAGGGGGAAAAAAACTTTAATCGGATGTTCACAGCTTCGAAATCCCTTAACCCCTCTTGGAATCCATTCGAAGTGGATTTTGGACTAATATCCGCAAAATGTTTCCCGGAGCGATAATGGGATTGACTGATTCATGAATATCAATTATGAACGGTTCTTCTTGAAAATATTGGCATTGCTTGGTCCAAAAAAAATGGTCACAGTTGATTTGGCGATTAAACTTTTTAATTTACCACGAGGCCGAATTTTGACTTTATTTCATACATGAACAAAAATTCATATGTATGAGCGTATCATGCTGTCTAGTTATATATACTATAAAATAAATATATTGAATTAAATTTTGATGTAAGTAGCAAATATTACTGACTAATTTTAGGAAAAACATATATGCCTTTAGTTTCTCCAAGGAGACAGGCTGTGTTGTTGACGATGAACCAAAAATAGTGGCTTCTGCTTGGGAAAGGAAGTCTAATTGACGGTTACGAAAAATCCCAATTTTGGGCGTTTGTAAGATAATTTCTCGCGGTGCTCTTAAATTATTACTTTATGCTGATGATATTTAGGTATGGTGGCTACTTAGCTAGATTATTTCATATTTTTTTACATGTTTAAAGCCTGTAGTCAACTAAAAAGTATATCAAAAGTGTTATTTTAAATGTTCCATCTGGCCTTTCCGGTCAGTTTTTTAGTTTACTTTTTGTGAGCCAGGATATGGCTTTACTGCAAACGTGCGCTCCTGACAATGCTCTAGTTTTCTAAAGGTACATCTGAGACAAAAGGTGTGAAGTTCACAGAAATATAGTGTAACTGAACGAGAGGAAATACTATTGAATCGGACTCCAAAAGAAACACGCTTTTATTTTCCACATTCAAGAGGCTCCTCGTAGGTCTCTTACCAGAATTACTTCAATTCATAACCTGCAGTTTGCATTCAGCGCAATGAAGAAGGTAGAACTAATAAAGAGGAACTTGCTCGCAAGGAAAGAAAGAACGCTTATTCACGTGAGCAATATGCGCCTTCATATTGAGCTGATACAATTTTGCATACATGAAAGACTTTAGGGACCAGACATAATTCAAGTTGTTTCAATGGCACATTTGCACACAGAGGCTTTATTGCTTCATCTGTGAGGGTTTTGTGAACTGAGTTCGCAGTATTTTTTTATAATTTTCTGAAATAGGATTTTAGGCACATTGATTTAAAAGTGAGAAAATGTGCCGCATTGTGACGTCATCCAGCGGTGTTTCCCAATTGATAGCACACGTATTTTAGCTAATAAGGTTATTTCGTATTATTTCCTGCACTAATTGTTGAATTTGCAAACTGAAAATATCCTCGTGCTCAGTTCTTTTAGAACTTCATTTTAAACATGAATTGTACGAAACTTGAGACACCTGCGAACTCTCAATTCAGTTGAAGAAAAAATGTTTTTGCTGCTGTCTGGACATTTTAAAGTTATTTCTACCTTTCTATTTTACATTTTATTTAGTGATGCTTCTCTGATATTTTTTAATATAATAATTTCTAATATCTTCTAATATTCTAAAATGATTTTTTTAAAAATATTTCGTTGAGAAGAGAAATAGCTATTTGTTTTCATGCATACTTTAATGTCTTTCGAGAGGATGAGGATGTCATCGTTGAGGATGACATATTTTTAAGACCAGAAAATTTAGTGTTTACCATAAAGTAATAAACCCATGAATGAACACAACGAATGAACCAAAAGGGCTCAAATTCACGAGGAAATATATTGTATAATTGTATGCAAATTAGAGGAAATCCACTTGTAACAGAAATTATTCGGTATTCTTGGGTAAAATTTGAAATTTCGTACTTGGAAGGGTACTATTCTTTCACCTCGTGACTTGATGAATTACACTAATTATTCACGATTCTTCAGAAATCTGATGAGGTTCAATTTACGCATTTTTAATTGTTGTATCACTTAAGAGACTTGAAATTTTGTTTTTAAACATCATGATATCGTACGATTTGATGAAAAACGGTCTAGGTCAATGCTACATCGATTTATTTCACCACATAAGAATGACTGATCGAAAATCGGACCCGATCAAATACGAAATTGCAAAACCATAAACGTATCACCCTCATTAATCGTCGGCTAAGAGCAGTAGCAGCTGAGTGCAGTTCTTCAGATTATCTCACGTGCCGCCTTTTTTTTGTGAGCGACTAATTTAACTCCTTTCCAAACTTCCACGCAGGGTCGCCGATTTAACCAATAAATCCTCCTGATTTATGTGGATTAGAGGAAAACAGATAATTATTCTGAACCTGGCAACGAAGCTCCATACATATTCACGAGCTGTGAATGGAACAGCGCTTTTTTCAGCAAGTACCGATTTTTGGTACGTACACTCACGAGGCGCTTTTTTTCAACGTCGGCATCGTCAACAAATGTGCCGAATTATTACAAAATCTTCCAAATTAAGGATTGAGTATATAAATTCGATATGAATCCTCCAAACTACATCAGTTCTGATCTCTTCGTCTTATAGTGAACAACGTAAACCAAATCAAACCATCATGTACAAGGTAATATTCGATTTTATTCTTTATCATGCGTACTTACTTAATTATTATTATCAACCTCAAATGAGATATAAAGTAAATCGTCAAATCTGGGCTGTGTAAATTTTGAAAATATTTTCTTGACAGTGTATTTGAAAGGACGCATAGCGACCATAGCAAAGCCAGGGTGTCCTAGGGTTATATTAACATACTCAAAAAATCTTGTTTTCCGAAAAATAGCGTTGAGCTCCGAATTCAATTTTTGCCTCACTTGTTTACATTGCTCAGGTTCTTAGTGTAGGTTCTCCATACTATACTATATTTTACTCTAAAAAAGGAAGTGAAAAATACCGTTGATAAAAGGAGAGTAGCCTTCTTCACTGATTGAGAGACGGAAAATTCCATGAAAAATAATATTTGGAAATTCCACGGTGAAATTATATGTGAAATGTCATATAAATTGCCCGTGAAATTTCTAAAAATTGCAGCTACAGGCTATTTTTCGAAATTTAAGAAAACTTTTTGGAGTGTCACTAAAATTAATGTGAAATTTCTAAAGAGATCTCAATCCTCTCATACCTCTCTACAGTATCAGTATACAGTAAGTTAGAATTTTTCAGCAAACATGCGTTAAAGATCATTTTAAAGTTGAAAATGTCATGCTGATTTTTAACGCACGTTGGCTAAAAAATTCCGACTTTCTATCTTACGATCCGTGCGTCTACCGCAATCACTTTGAGTATCAGTATAGATAATTCGTAATTCTGTTCACAGACCATTGCTCTGACCTTAGCCCTCGTGGCTGCCGTTACCGCCCAGTACGGACACCAATCCTACGGCGGCTACCACCAAGAACCATCCTACCCCTCTGAGCCAATCAAGTACCAGTACAAATACGAGGTCCACGACCCCCACACCCACGACATCAAGAGCCAGGAAGAAAGCGGAGACGGACACTACGTCAAGGGCTACTACAAGCTCGTCGAACCCTACGGTGGAGAGCGCATCGTCCACTACTCTGACGACGGACACGGATTCGTGGCTCATGTCCAGACCTCCCATATCTCCCATCCCCAGGACTATAAGAAGGCTAGCTACGGACACGGATACTCAGCTCCATCCTACCACTAAATGTCCTAATGTCTGATTTTCCGGATCGGAGGATCCTTCAGCTCCTACCTCAACGATCCTGCAAAGTCGTTTTTCGGGGAGTCATTTGACTAGACGCATTATGTCAAGCGACTGATTTTCTCCAAAAATTGTCGGGATACCCAGAAGTAGAAGAAAAAACAATTACGCTTATAGACCTACTGGAACCCGTTATGTTACTGACGAGTGTTCGTGTAAAATATTATTGAAACCAAATATTCCATAGGATTACATTAATTCTATGATACGTTATTTTAAGCAAATATTTCAATATGAAAAATTTGAAAAAAAAAATAAAAAATCATACAATTCATAAAATTGTTTCATTTTTTCACTCTTCAAAGATTGAAATCCTCTAACCACTTGGGTTTGATCAAAAATCCCCTTAGCTACACGCATTTTGGTAATCAAGCTATAGCACAACACATATCTCAATTAGCGATATTGCTGATATTTTGACTGAAATTGGGCAATTAAGACACTTTGCAGAGAATGTATAGCTTTGCCTTTATACAGCGATATCGTCACAGTTGGAACGGTGGAAGGAAAATGTCATTACTAAGGTGCACGTTTTGCATTCGTAATGTACTTTAAAAGACACAATTTTTTTTATCGAATTATATTGATATTTCTTTAGAAATGAAAAACCACACGAACAGTTTGCTTTAAACACCTTTGATTAATGCAGCATGTTTTCTTGGTTACCTACTTAGGACAACATATCAAATTACACAAGCATTCATTAGCACAAACTTAGTAAAATGGTACGTTTTAAAGTGCAAGAGACTCCACATGGTCTTTAGACCACAAAGAAAGTTTTCCACACTAAGTGAATATTAACATGAAAATGAGATTAAAATTTTCAATTCCTCATAAAAATTGAAAATTGGCATCCCCCTGCACGATCATTATCCACCATTAACATCCTATAAGAGTAACAGTAAGGAGTTGGAGTAAAGAGAATTAAGCATTCTCAAGAAATGGATATTTGCTCTTTTTCAAATCACCGAAAATTTGATGGCTTTTTCTACCCCTTAAAAACAGTTACGGGATAATACACATGCCCTTATGCCCTCGTGGAGTTTATGCAAACCAACAACTCAATTTCGCAAAAAGTGGTTTTCTCAGTTAGCCATTCTATTATCATTTTGATTACAGCTTCATGAAATTTTTAGTAATTCACAGGTTTCCACCGTTTCATGCCACACAAGTTTCACCGGCTGACCTACATTCGACACCGGTAAGATGACCCCGGCTCGCGCACTGCAAAGGTTCCCATTTGGCGCGCATTTCAATTTAGGCTCTTGACCGTCCTTAACTTCTCTCAATGACCACACTGCCGTGCTAAATAAGAACGCCGTATGAGCCATCAGGCGTTGCCAAATTTCCTCCGACAAAGCACAAATTTTCAGGAAAATTTGTACATATTTCTTTTCCGATTTTTAAGAGGATTTCGTTCGTCATTCGATTTAAAAAGTCTGAAAATTTCAAAGGAAAATATTCATAACTTTCTTCTAGAATGAATATTTTGATAGAGAAAATTTGGCAACATTCGACTGCTTATACGGCATTTTTACTCAACACCGTAGCACACTGGTCCAGCTTGATGCGGGGGGCGTTCTCCCCCGCGGCGATTTGCTTTTTCGGGCCTCCGACTACTTTTGCGAGACGGACTTGGTCCTCAACAAGGTCACAGCTGTCAGTCATCCATCGTTGTCAAAACTAAATGTGGAGCATAACTTTGGTGTCAATGAAATGTGTCAAAATGCCACCGGTTCCAATCTTCATGTGTGGAAATAGGGAGACCAGGAGGCCTGCGATCTAATTATTGAAATTGACCGACCAAGTGATAGACAAAGAGGACAAAAAGAAAATGGAGCGATCCTATTGGTTAAAAAAAAGCGGTTTCTATAGACTAAGAGGGAAAAGTATGAGCTAGCTATAGGGTTTCTCATGGGTTGCCGTCAGTTAGTCTATTCCCTTCCTCCTTCGTCCACTGCAACCTCCTGCTCCTACCAATAGGATCGCTCAATTTTTCCTCTGTCTTCATTGTCTATGGCTTTGTCTATTAATTTTGATAATCACANCCCCCCCCCCCCCCCCGAGATTTAGTCCCCTCCCCAAGCCCCTCCCAAAAAATGTGAGGGATTTTGCTAAGTAAATGCGAGGCATATCTTTCATTTTGGAAATTGTAATTTGATCAATTTTTCTGTAGGTACAGCTCAGCATTAACCATAAAGACGACCCAATTTTTTAACATTTTCTGGATTGGGCCCCCTTTTGAAGCTAAGGAAGTCCCCTTAAATTTCCTTTAGAGCTAGAGGAGTTCCCCAGACCCTTTTCGAAGGATGCCCCCCCCCGACTCACCCGTTCACCAGAAATGCGTCTAATTGCAAGTTCCAGGTCTTTCATCTCATGAACAATGCTGATAAAATATTTTTATTATGAGGGAGGGAAGATTTAGTTTTTGAAAATTAGAATAATTCTAAAAAAGAAGAATTTATCACAGAAAAAAAGAGGTAGCCCCAACTCGAATATTGCCAATTCATTGTTGTAGTACCCCGATACATTAGGCTACTAGTCAAAATGTTGTGGCACTTCCCCAGCTGCGGTACTACCAGAATTAATTAAAATTGTCCATATTATCCAACAAAATGGGGTATCATCACAATGATAACCCCTGGCACTTTTTCCCCGTGATATTCGACAGTTTCAGGTCCTGAAATCAGGGTTCAGTTGAAATTTCAATCTGGCAACTGAGTGGATAATCACTTACATAACACAGTAAAGTTATAAAATGCCGCACTTCTGCCCTCACATACGTCTCTCTTCAGCTAATTAGGATCCAATTTTGAGCGGCTGTAGGAGTAAAAGAGTCGCTAACAATCCAAGCGTCTACGCAGTTGAAGAACGTTTCTTTCCGACTCCTTGAGCACGTGATATTAGAGACTCGAGAAATCGAGCATGACCCAGGGGTCGTGTCCAAAAAAATCTCACTGAAAATACTTTTAGAATGTTCACATCTTGGCCGACCAAAATTGTCAAATGGTCTAAGTAAAACGATAAAAAGCCGATTTAACTCTGAAACATGTGGTAAAATACTTAATATATAAACCCCTCCCTTAAGTTGCATACGTGATCCTTGAACGAATCCTAAGTCCTTTTCTCAAAACTTAATTGAGGAGCTTTCCGAAAAAAGGGCCCAAAAGGAAAAATCGCATTCGACAAAAATGCATTGGAAAAAAAAACACATTGGATCTAGAGTCCAGACTCTTGAAAACATTGACAAGAAAAAATACTCTCGATTCAATCGGATTTTTGCTTGAATCAAAACGAAATCCGCTCAAATTAAGAGGCTTGGTTCTTGATTTTAGCTAGATTCTGATTGAATCAAGAGTACTTTTTCTTGTCGATGTTTTTAAGAGTCTGGACTCTAGAT